GAGGGAGGAAAATGGGGAAAAACAATATGCTTAATTGTCACCGGTTTTCACTTTTTACAAAAAAGTCTGCTGAGTTTTTCATTGGAATGGCATTGAATGCATAGGTCAATTTGCAGATAATTGATATTTTAACAAAATCAAGTCTTTAAATCCATGAACATGTTATCTCAATCCATTTATTTAAGCCTTGTTTAATTTCTCTCAGTAAGGTCTTATTTTCAGTGCAGATAAGAGTGTAGATGATGCACTCTTTTGTTAGATTTATCTCTAAGTAATTCCTATTTTTAATGCTATTGTAAATAAAGTTGATTTCTTGATTTCAATTTGATAGAAATACAATAGATTCTTTTATATTCAAGTTGTAGCCCACAATGTAGCAATACTTACTTATTACTTCTAGCATCTTTATAAATGTATCCAAATGATTTTCTGTGTATCTTATCTGGGAATTAGAAGTTTTACTTCCTCTTTTCCATTATGGATGTCATTTATTTCTTTTATAAGTCTTTGTCACACTGACTTGAATCTCTTGTCTGATGTCAAGTTGAATTGGTAGGAATGAACATTCTTACCTTGTTTCTTATCTTAGGGGGGGTATATATTTTTATCCTAAATTAATAAATATAGGTATTTTAAGATGTTAATTTATTATATTGAAAAACTTCCCTTCTGTTATTATTTTGGTGAGGGGTCTTGTCTTGTTTTTTTTGTTTGTTTGTTTATTTGTTTTACCAGAAATGGGTGTTAGAGTTTCAGATAGATCAAGATGCTGGAATTTATGCAAATTCTTTTTTAAAATTTATTGATACATATGACAGACTTACAGTCTTTCCAGCAGTAGAGGTGTTATTAGAATCCAGTGTTCTGGAAGAGGCAGTGTCTCAAGCCTAATTTCACTTTTCTAATTCTAGTAGCTACTCCCAGGAAGTTTTGAAAGTTTTAAGTAGTCTGATATTTTTATGTAAAGAGCATTAAATTTTGCTGTGTATAAATTTTTGTAATCTAATAGTGAATCAATATTTTCTATCAGTGCCAGGGACTTCTGTAGTTCTATTCACATGTTACAATAAATATTTTAGATTATAGTCAGTACTTTTGTATGCTTAGTTTAAAGATATCTTTAAGTGGAAACAGTTGTGTATTAATAAAAGCAATGAAATAAAAGTATAACTTCAAAAAACTTACTGAGATCGCATTTTTTCTTGTTTTGTCTTTAAGGTGGTGAATTACAATGTTTATCAAATATTGACCCTACCTTGAATTTGTAAATGAACCCCATAATGATATATTATCCTTTTTGTATATTGTTGAATGAAATTTGCTAAAAGTTTAAGAATTTCTCCATGTACTTCTGTGAGTGATATTTGAATGTGTGTGTGTGTGTGTGTGTTTTTTTTTGTCGGTGTTTAGTATCAGTAATTTTGGCTTTATATAATGAGTTGAGTATAATATGACAGAGACATGGCTATGCCACAATCACATCTCCATTTTCCTCTTGAGATTTTGGGCACATATGCACACATGCCCAGTGTAATTTTCAAGCTGCTGGATCCAGGACTCAAACTATGGTTGGCCACGTGAGAGTCCAGCGCCTTAACCACCATGACAACTGCTGCATCCCCCTCCCCTTATTATCTTTTTATAGCTGTGGAACTGTTAGTGATATCACTGCTCCCGTACCAGATATTGGTAATTTATAGATTTTGGGCACATATGCACACATGCCCAGTGTAATTTTCAAGCTGCTGGATCCAGGACTCAAACTATGGTTGGCCACGTGAGAGTCCAGCGCCTTAACCACCATGACAACTGCTGCATCCCCCTCCCCTTATTATCTTTTTATAGCTGTGGAACT